CGTTAAAATTCATCATAGGTTCCGCCCCTTTTTTCTTTCTCTTTGACAAAAATTGTGGTTGCCTAGTGGTGACGGCATTACAGTTTGACGTAATTCTTAAAGTCATTCTGGACAAAAGTAGTATGTGACCAAGTCATTGAATACAACCATAGGTTATTCAATGGCTGTATTCAATGATATTTGCTTGTATTTGCCCACAGGTGCTTGTTATCTCTATTTTGTCAATTGTTCAGGCCCGTAGCTAGCAGGGTGGCCTTATAATGATAATATATTGTCAAGCCGGACATAATGCAAAGTTCCGTGTGAGATTAGTTGGGCGCCCACGACTTGATCAAAACGGCATGATTGGTTGGGCGCCCATAAGGTAATTGTCGGAGCACACATAATGCCGAGTGAGATTGGTTAGGCGACCACGAATGAATTCGTATTCCTTCCTTCAAATTTTTACGATGTTCATATCAAAATGTCATAATACGCCAAAATTGCAAATTCAGCCTCAAAATTGAAATTTTCCATCATCTTCATAGGTGCAAACCCTATTTTCCTAAATTTTCTGGGGGGAGAGCTCCCTTGACCTTTATCCGAAGGGAGACGCGTCCACGGTGCCGTTCGCCGTGGACAGTCAAGTGTAGGTACATCGGCACCCCCAGATGCCTCCTAACATTTTTGGGCTACCTAAGGGCCTGACATTTGTTAAAAGTTGTTGCAGTAAATAAACTTTGAATTTGGCATTGCGTTTATAATGGCTTTGAGTGGAATCGTTGCATATCGTCGAGATGATGACTTTCAGACTGCATTTCACGACTAACTATAAAATATCATTAATAAATTATTTTAGCAGAACAAGTCGAACATTTCGTTGAAATATTCAATAAAAAATAGAAATATTAATAACGTGTTTATCCTCATAACGATATTTACTTAAGCTAAAATAAACCAATTTCCTCACTTAAAAGCTGTTGCCATGTATTTTGTTTTAAAATAGACGAAAATCATAATATTCTCTACTTGCTCCTGACTCTAGGTTGAAGATTCATCAAGATGTGTACTTTGTGGTTGATCTCTGTTGCTGTTGTGCTTGCTTCCATGTTGCCAAGCTCTGCTGCGGGTAAGTATTATTATTTCATAGTTCCTTTGATTTCTTTGAGATAATATTTATAATTACCATAAAACAAAATTGTGGCATTTGGATATTGAACATATGTGCCGCTAATGATTTAAGCGGTATCAAATGGACAATAACAGTCCTCTAAATTCTAAACAGTCGGTGTTTATCTCCTAATTGTTTGTTTTTATTGTATTTTAAAACAATTGTTAATTACTACATGTTTTTCTACATGTACCATGTAGGTGAGATATTTCTACATGTACGGTTAACATCTGGAATGTATCCCGTAAGTCTGAAGTTCCTCCGTGGAACAAGTTAAATTATACATTATACACTACAACAGTGGCACCAAATGATTTAAGTTTGTTGGGGACATATATTTGCGACAGTTGGCGCGCAAAATAGTGATTTTGACTTGGGGATTTCATTCGTTGAAAAAAAAAATCTTTGAAAAATTTAACACTGCTCCTAAAAATGTTTGAAGCAATACAATGTAACACAATTAATATTGATAGGTATTATAAATGTTATAATCAACAGGGGGGGGGGGGGGTTGGATGGCTGAATGGTTAGCACGCGCGCGCTGTATCACGAGTCCTGTCATTGAGTCATGTGGCATGGTTTCGAATCCCCGGTTGTAAGTGACACGGAGTAGGGTTGCCTGTCCAACCTCGTGGGTTTTCTTCGGGTCCCCCGGTTTCCTCCCACTGCTTAAAGACACCTACGCGCAAGCGAATTATTGAAATAAAATTAAACCATACCATATGTTAGTCCCGAAATGACCACCCGATTAGATTTTATTACATACTTCGAGAAGGTATTTGTTGAGTAATAAAACCTTCTAGTAGTTTATCGAGGGCTGGCCGTCCTTACCGCACGGTACAAATATTATCACCACTAGAAGCAACACATTCCAGAACAAGCCAGAACTCATACCAAAATGGCCGCTTGATACAAATGAGTATTTAGGGGAATACTAACCCGAACCCTAACCCTAACCCTTTTAAGAGAAGTAAAAACTAAATTAGACCCAAGTTCAGTCTTTTAAAAAGGGTTAGGGTTAGGGTTCGGGTTAGTTATCCCCAAAATTCTCATTTATATAAAGCGGCCATTTTGGACTCCGGAAACACCCGAACCTCGATAAACTATACTAGAAGGTTTTATTTGTACCGTGCGGTAAGGACGGCCAGCCCTCGATAAACTACTAGAAGGTTTTATTACTCAACAAATACCTTTTCGAGGTATGTAATAAAATCTAATCGGGTGAAATGACCTAGTCTGTGTCGAGTGGACGTTAAACCCCATTTCTCTCTCTCTCTCTCTTATTACTCAACAAATACCTTTTCGAGGTATGTAATAAAATCTAATCGGGTGAAATGACCTAGTCTGTGTCGAGTGGACGTTAAACCCATCTCTCTCTCTCTCTCTCCCTCTCATATCTAAATACGTGTTTATTTACGATATTACCAATATTATAATTATTTTACAGTGAGTGGATGTAACGTGACCGAGTGTAGGAATAGAAGGGGAAATTGTCTTCTATACAGATGTTACAACGATGGTAAGATACCTAGTTTTCTATCAGCTATATTTATTACCAATCCAGTTATTATCCACTCAAATAACTATGAGCGAGCTTGAAATTTACTCATGAAATTAAAATTCCATCATATAATCTGTGGATTAACAAGACATATTCCGTGCATTACTTTGTCAAATTTCACATAATTATTTTAAAATGGCTAAATAGTTAAAGAAGTATATCGTTAATCATTTTTCCTCCACTAAAATATGTAATTTATCTACCTTTTACCTGTAATTTATCTACCTATTTACCTGTAATTTATCTACCTTTTGACCTGTAATTTGTTTATATTCAGGTTGTAACTGTCCTAGGGATGAAGTATGTCTTGATGGTAAATGTGTAGTCACCAGTAAGTATAACATGTTACCTGTCTGTTGATTAATGTATATACAAACATTAGACCATTACCCTCTACTTTATAAACAGTTGAAATTTAAACTCAAGTTCAAACGAGCACCTGTTATAATAAAAGTAATGAAACCGTCTCGGTAATACTTTTATCAAATCCGTTAGAATATTTATTTCAAAAATTCATTACTGTCAAAACATTTTCTGTTTGGTAATAAAAGTCTTAATTGTGGTAAAAACTATGGAACTGTAAGACTTCCCGAGTTTGCAAGATTTAAAAACAACTTCATTAATTGCATAACGATTTCACGAAACAGACTGAAAACAGGGGGTGGCCATCTTTAATATGTTGATCACATCAGTTTTAACACAATCCATGAGCCGCTGTAAGACACAGTCAGTACCCACAAATCGTGAACCGACATGTAACAATACATTAATATGACGTTCTATTTATAAACTCTATTATATATATATATCTTTTTTATGGGGTTGGATGGCTGAATGGTTAGCGTGCGCACGCTGTATTATAAAGTCTGTCATTGAGTCGACTGGCGTGGTTTCGAATCCCCGGTTGTACGTGACAAGAGGGTCGCCTGTCCAACCTCGTGGTTTTTCTCCGGGTCCTCCGGTTTCCTCCCACTGCTAAAGACCCCTACGCGCAAGCGAATTATTGAAATAAAATTAAACCATATGTTAGCCCCGGACAATTTTGAAAATTGGACGACCGCAAACACGTTTTCCAACCCTGAAAATCGGTAGTACAAAATATATGGCAGATAGATGTCAGAGCACAACCAATAATATGTAATGTATAAAAATGTCCCCAAATCAATACTCCCTCGACCCCCTTAGTCCAGAAATGACCTAGTTTGTGTCGAGTGGACGTTAAACCCCATTTCTCTCTCTCTCTGTATGTTTTATATTTCAGTTGATAATTGTGGTACTCGTATAGATGACATATACAAATATTGTAAGGCTACGGGTGTGTTGTTTATCTATATTACTAACTTGCAATAATTTAATTTGATAATATACTCTTCAAAAAAAAGTAGGAGATATTCAGAAACAATACAAAACTGCGGAAATGCACTGCTGTTTTTATTAGAGGTAACCAGTGTATTTTAATAACAGGCCAATTGCCTACACATGAACATAAATAATTCACAGGGGCGGCTTATCTGACGGCCCCATTTCACTCGCAAAGAGATACACTGTCAAAAGTGAAAATGGACGTTTTTGATTTTTGTCTTAGTAATGAGTAATTGCTCCACCAATTCTCAGGCATTCAGCAATTCGTCGTGCCATGCTCCTAATCAACCGTCCAATCACGATTTGGGGCAATATGACCTACTCCTCTTGCAGTGCCACGGCCAATTCTTGCAGTGTTGTCGGTTGACGTTGACGTCGAGGAACACGTCTCCGGATCAAATTAAACGTAATACACTAAAGCAGAGATACGTTAAACAGTAAAACTTATGCAAGAACCGATAGGAAAGCAAACATGGATAGGATAAACCAGCAAGCGGCAGTTTTCACCAACCCTTCCTTGAAATGTCAAATTTGACAATGAACCCCTCCCACGTGTATGGCGCTATTGCGTGTTGCACATGCAGCTCAGTGGTTCTGTTGGGGCGATAAGTTCTTCATCTGTGAACATACTCTCAAAGCATGTCAAGTGTCCATGACTATTTATCATATCACAACCTTCATAGGTATTTGCATTTCAATATCCTCTACTTTTTTTGAAGAGTATATTTGAATTGATCTACAATCATATATTACTTGAACTGGTTATATATATATATATGATCAAATGAATGATGATATACACTGATTATTTAATATCTATGTAACAACTCATATCTATATTAATGCTTTGGCCTAGGTGAGAGAAAATATAAATAAATCAGACAACTATTGTAATAGCGTCCAGCAATCTAAAACTTCAAATGTTTCAGGTGTATCATGTGGGGACGGACACTGTATTACTGGTCTTAGTTTGTACTATAAATGTGAAAACAACACGTGCAGGAGTAAGTATAATATAGATATATGTTATTCATAACACGACTATTTCTATAATTAATGGAAGCCACGGTAGCTAGGTGGTTAAGACGCTGGCTCGCTAGCCTGGGGGTCGGGTGTTCGATCCCTGCATTGGCCGAGAAAGTTCATCCAGATTTTCCGACGAGGTTTCCCCTTGTCAGTGGTGCAGAACGGAGGGCCTGACAAGGACAGCTGTCTAGTCCTTTGGATGAGACGAAAAACCGAGGTCCCCGTGTATACATTGGAATGCACGTAAACGTATCCTTGGCAGTTGGAATTCGATATAAGAGTAGGCGATAGTGCCGCTCCCCGGGCAAAATTTCCCTCATAGCACACTGTATGGCGTATGCCCATCTTCATTAGCCCAGTATAAGAGCAGAACAGTAGGACGTTAAACCCCATTTCATTTCATTTCATTAATTATAATTCATGCTGTTCTACTTGATCATTTGGCTGGAACACCTGGTAACACTATCCTATGTTGGATGATTTGTCAGATTCTGTACTTTGTGTATATTCCTTTTTTTTTTATGAAAGTAATCTTAAACACAATTTTATATTGTAAATTATAGATACACGTGGTTGTGATGGGGCGGCTGATGGTACCATTTGCGACTATTTGCATGACTACCAATGTTCAGGTGGTGTTTGTCGCGGTAAATATGATTTATATTATAGACAGTCATTTATACAAACCCGATGTATTTATTAATAGATACCATTTCTAGAAATCTGTCTAAACAGTCTCCAGCTAACACAGTAAGGTCAATAATAAAATTATATAAAAACAGCGCTTTGTATTAGCCAATATAGTCTTAGTTCCAAAAGGGTCTAATCATTAGTGTCGAGGAACTGCCCTCCCTCATATTTGCTTCACCTCAGGCTCGTAGCTAAGGGGGGGGGGGGGGGCAAGAGGGGCACGATGGTCGTTGGTTTCGTATTGCGTCCAATTGAAAGTGTGCCAAATGCGCTCATTGGGGTAACCAATTCTTTCCCCATTGGGTAAAGGCAACCATTGGGTGCCCGATTTGCTCCAGGGGAGGCAGCTCTCCCTCTCCCCCCCCCCCCTCCCGACCTGGCTCTACCCATGTGTTGATAGATAGTTAAATATAGCTGTGTGTAATCATATTGTTATAGCATTATTTAGTGAAGACAGTGATTGTTGATAGATGGTTAGATAGTGTTGTGTGTAATGATATATTACTTATATTTATAGTGCCTTGTACTGACACCAACGTTTGTAAAGGTTACCCATGTGTAGGTGGATATTGTGCAGGTAAATATGACCTGATTTGTATATAAACATGGTTAAGACTCGAGCACCCCTCGTCACGACAACAAAGAAAAAGTTATGACTTTGAGTATATTCACCCAATAATGTTATGAATAGTCTACAATGGTGTACCATAGGTTTACAATGTTTTTTTACCAAGTCCCGAAATGACCTAGTCTCTCTCTCTCTCTCTCTCTCTCTCTCTCAAACACATACACACACACACCCACACACACATTGTCTTTTTACAAACATTCATAGGGGCATGATCCACTTCACAAACATTTGGATAGGATTCCGAATAGCAGAGATAATAACAAAATGTTGAAAATATAAAGAAGGCATCTTGCTATATAAGACAACGCAGAATCTTATCTTTTTTAAATCTAGTAAACCCAATTTTGCTTGGGCAAAATGAAATAATAACATGTTGTTTGTGATTAAACTCTTACATAAACTGTCTGGTCACCGCAGGGATTATTCGGCCATCTTACAAAGATGGCGTCGTCAATCACCCATTATAATCCATTCAAATATTTAATAATAATTTCACTTGTTTAATTAACATTCATCTTTAACTGTAAATTTACTTGTTTAACTAACATTCATCTTTAACTGTAAATTCATTTTCGGATATTAATAATACACAAACCATGTTTGAATTTTTCAGAGCCTGAATGTGGCGGACTATATTGTGTGCTGTAAGTAAACTAGCTTTTATGTTATGCGATATCCACTGTGAAGTGAACTATTATTAGATTCAATAAAATAATTGAGATATTTAACTACTGATAAGGTTTAACATAATAAACTATTTTGTAATATTTGAGTATGTTCATCCAATAATGATTTATATATTGATAATATATAAACCATGTTTTGTATTTTTCAGACCCTAAATGTGGAGAACCATATTGTTTTAACCAAACTAGTTGATGTCAACAAGCAACTATCAATAAAATAATTGTAATATCTAACTACTAATATAACTTCCGTAGTTTGTTGTTTATTTTGTTTACTTCCTATTGTCAGTGGTGCAGAACGGAGGGTCTGACAAGGACAGGTGTCTAGTCCTTCGGATGAGACGAAAAACCGAGGTCCCGTGTATATATTGGAATGCACGTAAAAGATCTCTAGGCAGTTGGAATTCGATATAAGAGTAGGCGATAGTGCCGCTGCCCGGGCAAAATTTCCCTCATAGCACACTGTATGGCGTATGCCTGTCTTCATTAGCCCATTTCTATTTTGTTTAGCTCGTGTTGCTGTGTTTGTCAGTCATCCATGTTATCCTCCGTATTTTTTTAACCTTAATTCGGTGATGAGTAGACGGAAAAGAAGCTGCCCGGGCAAAATTTCACCCCCCTGTACACCGCTTTATACCGATTCATGCAGAACAGTTTAAAACCCTACTTTATTTTGAAACATCTCGCGAAGGGGTATTAAAGTGACACGATTTGCCATAATTCACCCAGCCCTATCCTTCAAGACACATAAAGATGGCGTTACTCCTTCTTGAGCTACCAGACTATAAAGATGGCGATGTATGATTTAAACAACCAATACGAGGGCTGCCTTAAAAGTTCTAAACCAGTCTCTGTGAAAGATCTGTACAGGGCGACGGTTTCCATTTATTTTTCTACATGGTCCTCGTCGAGGCGCACACAATTTTGCTAACGATGTTGCCAGAACTGGGTGCCGGCCAGGAAGAAATTCTCTTTATCCATCCTAAAAAAAAGTCGTTCACAGCTGACATGACGTCATCATTACAAGGAAACAGGTGGAAGTCTGACGGGGATCTAGATAAATGGTGGGAAGGAAAGGACAGTATGAATTTGTAGGGAGTAAGACTACTTTGGGGAATCACTTTAAGGGCTAGTCAATGTCATCCAGACAAATATTCTACGGATATGAGTCTGAATGGGTTGTCAATATTTGACTAGATTATCAGACCGTCACGTTATCATGTGAGATAAATAGCCCTAAAACAAGATGTGGATGCAAATTAAATTAAACTAAAAATGGCCATTTCAAAAACATCTATGAATATTTCTTGTTTAATATCCAGCACTTATGACAATGGTGGCGACCGGGGGGGGGGGGGGCTTCCCCTCCCCCATAAATCTGGTCTTCCCAGATTCTTACCAAACCCATCCTGCTGTAAACCTACTATAAACAATACCACGTGTAAAGAAATCACCCAGACTCTACAACATGCAAGTCTATGACTGAGTGGGGATGTGGAATCTAATCACCGTACACGGTAGTGATTACTGTCACAAGGTCTCATTGAGTTATCTGCCTTGGTTTCGATACCCCGCTTGCACGTGACAAGGGGTAGTGTCACCTGTCCAACCTCGTGGGTTTTCTCCGGGTTCTCCCACCCCCCACTACTAAAGACCCCTGCGCGGAAGCGATTTAATGAAAGTTGACCCCCCCCCCCTCCACACCGTCCTTCCCGAAACAAATCCCATAATTCATGCATTATTATAAACAAACATGAATTGTGACGATAAATTAGAATTAATAAAATCTAATGCGAATGCAATTTTTACGACTGTATTTTACTAGCTCGTCAGGCCCTCCGTTCTGCACCACTGATAACGGGATACCACGTCGGTAAATCTGGATGTTCCTTCTCGGCCAATGCTGGGATCGAACACCCGACCTCCAGGCTAGCGAGCCAGAGTCTTAACCACCTAGCCACCGTGGCTCCCTGGACAGATTCAGACAAACTGGATGCTAGTAATATCTCTCGTTGCATATCTATTGTTCATCGGGATTTTCCGACGTGGTTTCCCCTTGCCAGGGGTGCAGGGCGGAGGGCCTGACAAGGACAGCTGTCTAGTCGTTCGGATGGTTACAAAAAACCGAGGTCCCGTGTATACATTGGCGTGCCCGTCTTCATTAGCCAATAATCTTTGAGTGGCATTTAGCGGTTGGGAAACACATTAACCGAACACAGTTTTTACGGGATACAATCACTAGTTTTATTCTAAAAGCACGATGTTCGACAAGTATCCTCTCGTCGTTATTGTGCTTGATAACGATAAGAGGATACTTGTCGAAACGTCGTGCTTTTAGAATAAAACTAGTGATTGTATCCCATAAAAACTGTGTTCTGGTAATTCATTAGCCAAGTCAGAGCGGAACAGCCGAACGACTAGATAGCTGTTCTTGCCAGGTCCTCCCGAAATGAAATCACATGGAGTTAAATGTCTTACTGTTCAGTTCAAAGCGGGATAATGGTAAGAACTCAATTTCAGACCTTATGACCTACGAACAGGTGTTAGACCACTCGACTTTCCAACCCCTTTGGTTGATCATATATCACAATCCCACCTGTTTTATTAGTTGGGCAGTTCACATGGCTATTTCTATTCTTCAGTTATTCGGTGGCTCAGTGAGTAAGGCGCTCGCTCATTAACCAGATAGGTCTCGGGTTCGCTCCCGATCCCTGTGTTGGCCGACCGAGAACGTTCCAGGGAATTTTCTGGCTTGACAACCCCTTGTCAGTGATGCAGTATGGAGAGACTGGCGAGGACAATATCTAGTCGTTCGGATGACACCAAAAATCGAGGCCCCGTGCATGGAAAAGAACTCTTGACAGTTGGAATTCGAAATAAGAGTAGGCGCCGCTAACCGGCCAAAATTTCCCCCATAGCACACTGTATAGCTTCATTATCATTATCCCAGTCGGTGCAGAGAAAAATAGCACGTTAAACCCCATTTCATATCATATCATATCTTACGTTAAGCCCCATTTCATATCGTATCATATCTTACGTTAAGCCCCATTTCATATCATTTCATATCTTACGTTAAGCCCCATTTCATATCATTTCATATCTTACGTTAAGCCCCATTTCATATCATTTCATATCTTACGTTAAGCCCCATTTCATATCATTTCATATCTTACGTTAAGCCCCATTTCATATCATATCATATCATACGTTAAGCCCCATTTCATATCATTTCATATCTTACGTTAAGCCCCATTTCATATCATTTCATATCTTACGTTAAGCCCCATTTCATATCATATCATATCTTACGTTAAGCCCCATTTCATATCATTTCATATCTTACGTTAAGCCCCATTTCATATCATATCATATCTTACGTTAAGCCCCATTTCATATCATTTCATATCTTACGTTAAGCCCCATTTCATATCATATCATATCTTACGTTAAGCCCCATTTCATATCATATCATATCTTACGTTAAGCCCCATTTCATATCATATCATATCTTACGTTAAGCCCCATTTCATATCATTTCATATCTTACGTTAAGCCCCATTTCATATCATATCATATCTTACGTTAAGCCCCATTTCATATCATTTCATATCTTACGTTAAGCCCCATTTCATATCATTTCATATCTTACGTTAAGCCCCATTTCATATCATTTCATATCTTACGTTAAGCCCCATTTCATATCTTACGTTAAGCCCCATTTCATATCATTTCATATCTTACGTTAAGCCCCATTTCATATCATATCATATCATACGTTAAGCCCCATTTCATATCATTTCATATCTTACGTTAAGCCCCATTTCATATCATTTCATATCTTACGTTAAACCCCATTTCATATCATATCATATCTTACGTTAAGCCCCATTTCATATCATATCATATCTTACGTTAAGCCCCATTTCATATCATTTCATATCATACGTTAAGCCCCATTTCATATCATTTCATATCTTTAGTTACTCGGATTCAATAAAAAGTTTAAACTACAAACAAAATTGATTTTGGAATCTTTTAATTCATTCCGTTTATGTTATTTTTAATAACACTGACATTGGTAAGATCGAGCAACGAATGGGCACTCGGGAGCATTTCGTAACACACATCTCCCTCCACTTCTACCTTTGACGTTTATACAATAGTCATTACAACTACGCCAGAATATGCCTGTACCCCCGGAACTCCATCCACTACACCTACTCCATGTAGTAAAACAATTAGCAGCTTCGGTTGATGGGGTCATGGTTAAAACTGTTAGTAACAGAATCACCATGGAAACACTCAACACTCTCTTGCTTACCATTTTGACTCTGTTAAAACAAATTAAAAGATTAAAAGATTACAGGAATATATAAAAGACAAATAGCAATATATTTACAGTAGAATAAATCTCGATCTACACACTATATAAAGGTACACTATACCCCACAAAATATCTACCCACAATAATATAGCTATGTATTATAATATACATGTATCTATATACAATAATATAAATATGTATTATACTATATCAACATACAATAATATAGCTATGTATTATGATATAGTTGGGTCAATCCACGTCAATTCGACCAGCGGGAAACCCACCGTCATCGATTCTGTCATAATTTTTTCATGGAAATGTTGCCTTATGAAATCTCTCGATCCAAAATATTTTCCAAAAAATTCCGACTATTAAAGATTCTGTAGACATTTTTCCGAAGTGGGGTGTTTCTAAAAGGCTGCACCCAGAAAAATGAAAAAATGTTAATAATTTCCAAATTACTTGAAGGATCAAGCTGAAATTTCACAATTGTATGTAAACCTGTACGCTGGTTCTAAATCTGGTCTCAAATCAGTGATCAGTGCACATACGCAGAAATATTATATTTTGAAGCTATGTTTCAAACTACTGTCTGAATCATCGTAAATGTTAAACGGATTTCTTAGATTCTGAACAAGCTACTTAACTTTGTTATTATAAACGTACCTGTGTGTTTGAAATCAACTCCCGTTCAATAAAATTATCGAATTACAAATATTTGAACTTGTCAAACTCGAATTGACGCCAGAAAGGATATTCAGCTTTGAATCCGAACGCAGATAAATGTTCTACTTGAGATTATCAATTGGAAAATGATACCAGCTTGGAGTACGAAAAATATAAATTAAAATTGCAGTATGGAATTGTTATTTATGCAGTGATTTCAGTAGCTGTCGTCAGGGTGAAATGTCTATCATGTAGCTATGATTTGGTGTACCATGTGTTAGATAAGTAAAAATGTTAATTGTGGACATACAGTAATTGTTAAGAAGCTATGCAATAAATAGATAACGCTTAACTCACCTAATGACAATTAGTGGTACTGCGGTAATCTCAGTCAGATATTACTGCCGTGGTCTCAGTCAGATATTACTGCTGTGGTCTCCGTCAGAAGTGTTTGACTAACAGATCTTTCCAGAATTTATATTATTTAAACCCGGATCTTTCTTTTTGACAATTAATTAATAAACGTGATATGTTGTGAAGTTAATGCATTAAAACAACATTAAACACCCTCAAAAAAGACAAGAACATAATAATAAAGAAAAGCGACAAAGGCTCGTGTTGTGTCATAATGAATTGCGTAGACTATATCTCAGAGACAATTGAATAATTCTAAACATTACACTAAATTAGACCAACCCATTTTCAAGGACATCGCAACTTTAATAAACAACATCCTACATCCAGTAGACGTGGTACAAGGGTTAATCAGCGAACTGGATGTATGAGATGTGTTGTTGACGTTTGGGAAAGTAGGACGAGGGGAAATGTGTAGGGAGTGAAGTGCTGTAAAGGGATAGTTAGATGTATTATGAATGGTTAGAGTGGCTGTGGTGTTACGGTGAAATACCATGCCGCCACCGTAACACCACAGCTTTATGATTTGTTAGACAGGAATGATGTAATGGGTGTCAACAACTGGGTATGCTGGTACCGTCGCAACGTAGCCGTGAAATATATATTGTGGGGGGGAAGGGCGGAAACGGAAAAATATACAATGTTGACAGTATGTGCCAGGCATGAGGCTGCGCAGACCGAGCGGCAGCTCGATAGGGAGTGTGTGGGAGGGTCACCCTCATAAAAAAATTTTTTTTTAAATTTCAGTTTTCTGTAAGCAGTGAAAACACTATTTTGGCATTGTTTGCGGGGTTAAACCTAAAAATCACATTAATACACCTATTGCACGATATTGTGAAACTAGCTGACGAAGACAGCTCGGGCGGCGATTGTTCGACCTGGGGCTGCTCTGTCAGTATCTAACAAACGCATTTAGTTCGCGTACAACTTTTAAAAACCGAATGTCAGTATGGTATTTCTCACATAATTGGTTATCGCAAAAACAGAGTAAACTGAAAGCGAGTAATCTCGACTCAAACCTATAGTCTATAGCCTACTTACAGTACTACACTCGTCACTAGGCTTCCTATATTATTGTTTGTGGACGGTTTACTACTCAGTGATAAGCCTGGGCCGCAAAAAGAGTTCTCGCCTTTTATTATTAGTATAATGACTTCCTCATGTGCGGCAGGTTAGTTTGCTTCTAAAAACACTGTTTTCCGTTCCAAAAAATACAAAAGTAATTTTCTACCAGATGACCATGGTTCTTTTCACCGAGACTAGATAATTTCTCTCGGTGTAAGGATATAGCTATGGATAAGTTCATACAAGGTCAATAAATCCGCGGTCACTTCGGGTCACACTGTTGAGAAAATAAACCGATGGGTTTGTTTAGTAGCAAATCGAGCGTGAATCAACTGAGTTTGTACTGAAAAATTTTTGAGTGATATGTATGAACTGTCTTCACACATTCGGTTTATAATTAGCGATATACAGGTACAGTGGCAAGTGCTGTACTTCACAGACTGTTTACCTCCGAACTACCTCCGCACGAAATCCCCGATTTGGGTACTTGTTAAAAGAAAAAGAAATAGTACCTGTGCGCATGCCAGTAAAAAAAACCCTAAGAGTTCGCGCATAAAAATGCCCGAACGTACCAGGCGCCAGGTCATCCAGTAGACGTGGTACAAGGGTTAATCAGCGAACTGGATGTATGAGATGTGTTGTTGACGTTTGGGAAAGTAGGACGAGGGGAAATGTGTAGGGAGTGAAGTGCTGTAAAGGGATAGTAAGATGTATTATGAATGGTTAGAGTGGCTGTGGTGTTACGGTGAAATACTATGCCGCCACCGTAACACCACAGCTTTATGATTTGTTAGACAGGAGTGATGTAATGGGTGTCAACAACTGGGTATGCTGGTACCGTCGCAACGTAGCCGTGAAATATATATTGTGGGGGGGAAGGGCGGAAACGGAAAAATATACAATGTTGACAGTATGTGCCAGGCATGAGGCTGCGCAGACCGAGCGGCAGCTCGATAGGGAGTGTGTGGGAGGGTCACCCTCATAAAATTTTTTTTTTTTAAATTTCAGTTTTCTGTAAGCAGTGAAAACACTATTTTGGCATTGTTTGCGGGGTTAAACCTAAAAATCACATTAATACACCTATTGCACGATATTGTGAAACTAGCTGACGAAGACAGCTCGGGCGGCGATTTTTCGACTCGGGGCTGCTCTGTCAGTATCTAACAAACGCATTTAGTTGGCGTACAACTTTTAAAAACCGAATGTCAGTATGGTATTTCTCACATAATTGGTTATCGCAAAAACAGAGTAAACTGAAAGCGAGTAATCTCGACTCAAACCTATAGTCTATAGCCTACACTCGTCACTAGGCTTCCTATATTATTGTTTGTGGACGGTTTACTACTCAGTGATAAGCCTGCGCCGCAAAAAGAGGTCTCGCCTTTTATTATTAGTATAATGACTTCCTCATGTGCGGCAGGTTAGTTTGCTTCTAAAAACACTGTTTTCCGTTCCAAAAAATACAAAAGTAATTTTCTACCAGATGACCATGGTTCTTTTCACCGAGACTAGATAATTTCTCTCGGTGTAAGGATATAGCTATGGATAAGTTCATACAAGGTCAATAAATCCGCGGTCACTTCGGGTCACACTGTTGAGAAAATAAACCGATGGGTTTGTTTAGTAGCAAATCGAGCGTGAATCAACTGAGTTTGTACTGAAAATTTTTTGAGTGATATGTATGAACTGTCTTCACACATTCGGTTTATAATTAGCGATATACAGGTACAGTGGCAAGTGTTGTACTTCACAGACTGTTTACCTCCGAACTACCTCCGCACGAAATCCCCGATTTGGGTACTTGTTAAAAGAAAAAGAAATAGTACCTGTGCGCATGCCAGTAAAAAAAAACCTAAGAGTTCGCGCATAAAAATGCCCGAACGTACCAGGCGCCAGGTCATCCAGTAGACGTGGTACAAGGGTTAATCAGCGAACTGGATGTATGAGATGTGTTGTTGACGTTTGGGAAAGTAGGACGAGGGGAAATGTGTAGGGAGTGAAGTGCTGTAAAGGGATAGTTAGATGTATTATGAATGGTTAGAGTGGCTGTGGTGTTACGGTGAAATACCATGCCGCCACCGTAACACCACAGCTTTATGATTTGTTAGACAGGAATGATGTAATGGGTGTCAACAACTGGGTATGCTGGTAACGTCGCAACGTAGCCGTGAAATATATATTGTGGGGGGGGAGGGCGGAAACGGAAAAATATACAATGTTGACAGTATGTGCCAGGCATGAGGCTGCGCAGACCGAGCGGCAGCTCGATAGGGAGTGTGTGGGAGGGTCACCCTCATAAAAAATTTTTTTTTTAAATTTCAGTTTTCTGTAAGCAGTGAAAACACTATTTTGGCATTGTTTGTGGGGTTAAACCTAAAAATCACATTAATACACCTATTGCACGATATTGTGAAACTAGCTGACGAAGACAGCTCGGGCGGCGATTGTTCGACTTGGGGCTGCTCTGTCAGTATCTAACAAACGCATTTAGTTCGCGTACAACTTTTAAAAACCGAATGTCAGTATGGTATTTCTCACATAATTGGTTATCGCAAAAAACAGAGTAAACTGAAAGCGAGTAATCTCGACTCAAACCTATAGTCTATAGCCTACTTACAGTACTACACTCGTCACTAGGCTTCCTATATTATTGTTTGTGGACGGTTTACTACTCAGTGATAAGCCTGCGCCGCAAAAAGAGTTCTCGCCTTTTATTATTAGTATAATGACTTCCTCATGTGCGGCAGGTTAGTTTGCTTCTAAAAACACTGTTTTCCGTTCCAAAAAATACAAAAGTAATTTTCTACCAGATGACCATGGTTCTTTTCACCGAGACTAGATAATTTCTCTCGGTGTAAGGATATAGCTATGGATAAGTTCATACAAGGTCAATAAATCCGCGGTCACTTCGGGTCACACTGTTGAGAAAATAAACCGATGGGTTTGTTTAGTAGCAAATCGAGCGTGAATCAACTGAGTTTGTACTGAAAAATTTTTGAGTGATATGTATGAACTGTCTTCACACATTCGGTTTATAATTAGCGATATACAGGTACAGTGGCAAGTGTTGTACTTCACAGACTGTTTACCTCCGAACTACCTCCGCACGAAATCCCCGATTTGGGTACTTGTTAAAAGAAAAAGAAATAGTACCTGTGCGCATGCCAGTAAAAAAAACCCTAAGAGTTCGCGCATAAAAATGCCCGAACGTACCAGGCGCCAGGTCATCAAGACAAGGAATACATAACAGCAGAAACAATATGATTATCTATTCGCTTAATCTGACTGCCGACAACGACATATCTATACGCTACCAAAAATACATAAAAATCCAGAAACGGAATGGTTTATTCCTAATAAATTACCCAAGGAACGCCCTATAATATCAAACTACGGCAGCGAATCATACAACGTATCACAATATATAGACCATTTCTTAATAGCCCTAGCATGCCAACACCCATCCTACCTAAACGACACTAACGTTAAGAGTCCTTGAACACACCATCTTAATATCCATCGACGTACAGAGCATGTACACGAACATCGATAATAACACAGGTATTGAAGCAGTTAGGAAAGCATTTATTAGGAACCCGCAAGCATCCAGGCAGGACAAAGAAATCTTCAAACTACTTGACATTTGTCTGAGGGGGAATGACTTCGCTTTCAACGACCAAGTTACCTCCAGTCTTCCGGGACTGCGATGGGAAAACGATTTGCCCCGAGTTATGCAAATCTCTTCATGGCCAAATCTCTTCATGGCGGAGTGGGAAAGGGAAGTTCTGGCGCTCTGCCCATTAAAACCAGATTTCTATGGGCGTTTTCTAGATGACGTTTTCATAGTCTGGACGTACACACTAGACGAATTTTTGACGTTTTTCAACATTCTGAACAATCATCATCCGTTTGACAAATTAACCCTTGACACCACCGTTTTTTAGAATAGCAACACCAAAAACACAGGCCAACTGAAAACTAAGGTATTTTTTTTAAAGAAACCGATACACATCAACTAGTGTTCAAAAGCTCCTTTCACCCTTAAACACACCTTC